TACTAAACTAAAACAAAAAACAAACAAACCAAGAAAAACAAAACAAAACAAATGAAACAGGTAAGATTTCTGTAATAGTACTAATAATTAAACCACTGAAAATTTTTATATATTTTATTTTAATTTAATATTGCTTGTTTCATGTCATATTTTAACCATGTTCATACTTTTTAACAGATTCAATTTAATTGTTTCCAGAAATAACAAAATTATGCTAACTTTAAACCATCTCAATAAATACATTTTTAAAATAAATTTAAATATTTAAATAAATGAGGCTAGATGCAAAGGTAATAATAAACATTGCCTTTGAAAATAAATGCAGAAATCTCTTTCCTGTTTCATGTATGTATGATTGAGAATTTGTTTATATGTTAAAATAGTGTAATTCAAATAAATGGAAATTTTATATCCAATTCAAATACATAAATCTTAAATTTAGGCATAAATATTTACTTAGCATTGGTGTTTAATTAATAATGGTGCAATTATTTTATTTTATAATTTTATTTTATTAGGCAAGTCATTCACTCACATGCACCTACAATTAAAAATTTTTTTATTATTATTTTGTTTAATTTAATTTTGTATTTGATCTTTAACCAACCAAATCACTTGAATAACTTTTTTTTTTGCTAAATACAGGTGCAGCTCATTAAATTAGAATGTCGTGGAAAAGTTTCAGTAATTCAACTCAAATTGTGAAACTCGTGTATTAAATAAATTCAATGCACACAGACTGAAGTAGTTTGTCTTTGGTTCTTTTAATTGTGATGATTTTGGCTCACATTTCACAAAAACCCACCAATTCACTATCTCAACAAATTAGAATATGGTGACATGCCAATCAGCTAATCAACTCAAAACACCTGCAAAGGTTTCCTGAGCCTTCAAAATGGTCTCTCAGTTTGGTTCACTAGGCTACACAATCATGGGGAAGACTGCTGATCTGACAGTTGTCCAGAAGACAATCATTGACACCCTTCACAAGGAGGGTAAGCCACAAACATTCATTGCCAAAGAAGCTGGCTGTTCACAGAGTGCTGTATCCAAGCATGTTAACAGAAAGTTGAGTGGAAGGAAAAAGTATGGAAGAAAAAGATACACTGAGAGAACCAACTGAGAGAACCGCAGCCTTATGAGGATTGTCAAGCAAAATCGATTCAAGAATTTGAGTGAACTTCACAAGGAATGGACTGAGGCTGGGGTCAAGGCATCAAGAGCCACCACACACAGACGTGTCAAGGAATTTGGCTACAGTTGTCGTATTCCTCTTGTTAAGCCACTCCTGAATGTCAGAGGCGTCTTACCTGGGCTAAGGAGAAGAAGAACTGGACTGTTGCCCAGTGGTCCAAAGTCCTCTTTTCAGATGAGAGCAAGTTTTGTATTTCATTTGGAAACCAAGGTCCTAGAGTCTGGAGGAAGGGTGGAGAAGCTCATAGCCCAAGTTGCTTGAAGTCCAGTGTTAAGTTTCCACAGTCTGTGATGATTTGGGGTGCAATGTCATCTGCTGGTGTTGGTCCATTGTGTTTTTTGAAAACCAACGTCACTGCACCCGTTTACCAAGAAATTTTGGAGCACTTCATGCTTCCTTCTGCTGACCAGCTTTTTGAAGATGCTGATTTCATTTTCCAGCAGGATTTGGCACCTGCCCACACTGCCAAAAGCACCAAAAGTTGGTTAAATGACCATGGTGTTGGTGTGCTTGACTGGCCAGCAAACTCACCAGACCTGAACCCTATAGAGAATCTATGGGGTATTGTCAAGAGGAAAATGAGAAACAAGATACCAAAAAATGCAGATGAGCTGAAGGCCGCTGTCAAAGAAACCTGGGCTTCCATACCACCTCAGCAGTGCTACAAACTGATCACCTCCATGTCACGCCGAATTGAGGCAGTAATTAAAGCAAAAGGAGCCCCTACCAAGTATTGAGTACATGTACAGTAAATGAACATACTTTCCAGAAGGCCAACAATTCACTAAAAATGTTTTTTTTATTGGTCTTATGAAGTATTCTAATTTGTTGAGATAGTGAATTGGTGGGTTTTTGTTAAATGTGAGCCAAAATCATCACAATTAAAAGAACCAAAGACTTAAACTACTTCAGTCTGTGTGCATTGAATTTATTTAATACACGAGTTTCACAATTTGAGTTGAATTACTGAAATAAATGAACTTTTCCTCGACATTCTAATTTATTGAGATGCACCTGTAGTTGTTACATCATGGTATTACATGATTTCCTTTATTTCTCCCACCAGATGGCACCAATCTGCTTTCCATGCATTTTTAAACACCTTTGCTCAATTTGTAACTTAAGCTTTGTATCAACTGAAAATCATATAAAAAAAATTCTAATGTTTGTATTTTTATATAGAAATAAACTGTATATTGTGAAGTACCATTAAGTCCCTCAAAATACAAAATATTAAAGAATACATATTTTTGAAATAAATAAGGTACATTAATTTCATTGAAACCGCCAATGATCACAGAAGTGAGCAAAAACAAAATGTTAATCTTAAATCCAAATAAGCATTGTGCAAATTTACATTTAACCCAAACCCCAAAGTGTATCATAACGATAAAGTTATCATGCAGCCCCGTCATGGTAAATCATAAAGAAGCGTTACAAATATTAAAAAATATTCCCCCACTCTACATGAGCATTGCTTTTTAAAGATTCCTGCTAAAACCAAAAACATGCAATATCCATGACATCTGACTTAAACGTACCCGAAATGAAGTGAGTGCTGCAGAGTCTACTGCCCTCGTTTGGCACCCACCCTTCACGATTCACCGCAGCGATCCAGCGCTGCTTCCGTTCCGGGTCGCACGGAAACCTGTAGAAGGATAGTGTGGTCCCGGGAATCCTCCTGTTTCGACAAACGGCCACTACGCATGTGTGAACCATATTAGGGCCACGCATCTGCTTTTCTCTCCTAGTAATATTTACAATCTGACTCCCAAAATGGCGGTGGGGGTAGAGTAGGCGACGCGAGTGTGTCGTCATCGGTTGGCTGCAGTGATGTCATCTCACCGCGCCGCGATCGCTCATTAACAGGCGTCGTGCACAGCGATTCATTACTTGCTTTCTAAAAGCATTGGGCAAAAATGGCTGTGGAATCAAGGGTCACACAAGAGGAAATCAAAAAAGAGCCAGAAAAGCCAGTAGACAGAGAGAAGGTTTGTTTTTCGTTACTTCCGCTCCTCAGTTGCGCAAATATGCGTGCACAAACGACGCGTCTTGCATGCTAAGCTAATTTGAATCAGAATGAGCTTTATTGCCAGGTATGTTTACACATACGAGGAATTTGTTTTCGTGACAGAAGCTTCCACAGTGTAATTTGTAAATCGAACTAGTAAATTAAACTTAAGTATACAGCATATTATAGGATAATAAACTGTCTAGTTGCAACATAGTATACTACAAATCGTAAATTATTCATGTAAGTGTGCAGCATACAATAAAGATATAAAAAACGTGAAGTATAGAGCATATTAAACGAAATATCAGAACGCGTTTCACCTCATCTGCAATATCAATATTGAAGACGTGTACATATTCGCCTGTAAGTGGTGATTGTGTTTCGAGGGAGACTTATTAAAGTCTGCGTGTTTCCCACAGACATGCCCTCTTCTTCTCCGAGTGTTCACCACCAACAATGGAAGGCATCATCGCATGGACGAGTTTGCCCGGGGGAATGTACCATCTAGCGAGCTTCAGATTTACACCTGGTAGGTATAAACTTTGCATTAAATTAAACTGAATTAAACGGCACGATCCTGAATTGTATCCGCATTGGTTACAGGATGGATGCCACTTTGAAGGAACTGACAAGCCTGGTGAAGGAAGTTTATCCTGAAGCTCGAAAGAAAGGAACACATTTTGGGTTTGCAATAGTATACCCAGACCCTAAACGACAGATCTACAGGTGATCTATACAGAAGCTTTTTTGTTCTAGCGTGGTCAATTTAGATTTGGTAAGAATAACCCGTCTGGTTTTGTTTGTTGTAGGGTTAAAGAGATTGGCAATACTGTTTCGGGACGCAAAGGTGCCGATGACTCCATGACGCTCCAGTCTCAACGCTTTCAGATTGGTGATTACCTTGACATCGCGATCACTCCGCCTAACCGTGCACCACCTCTCCAAGGACGCATGAGACCCTACTGAAACCAGACTTGCCTGCATTTAAACAAACGGAGAATGTCTGGAAATCTGCCTTCCTGTAGAGTTCAGTTCAAACCCTGCCTGTGCTTCAGGCAAACCTCAATTAGGTAATGATTAGCTGGTTCAAGTGTTTGTCAAAACTAAACTGTGCAGGAAGGTCGATCTCCAGCAGCAGGATAGGGCATATCGTGAGGATAGGAAGTTAAATAGATTCTTTTTCATATATTTTGTTCATGGGGTTTTATACCAGGTCTATCTTTTTAATTCTAGTCCTGTTACCATGATTCCCATAGTTGAATAAATCATTTTTTTTCAGTATCTTGTCTTGTGTAAACATTTATAAAATGACTTTTTGAAGAAACCAGGCATTGTATGAACAAAGCACTCGCACTTAACTTTAAACTGTTACCTAAAACACTTCAGCAGAGTTCACAATAAGAATTAACCTGTTAATGGTTTATCTTTTCTTAGACATAAGAAACTGCAACAGAATGACCAAAAAAAATTTATATTATGGAGCCAAATGTTTGGCTTTTCAGCATTTCGTCCATCTTGCCTGTATTGCAAACTGGTCTCGAAATGTAGTGTCCCTAACAGATAAAAAAAATGTGGCATTAGTGCAGCAGCTGTCATTTTATATTTCATACCTGGATAATTGTATAATTCTTTAGTAATGTTAATTTAGTCAAAGTTTTTCAAACTCATTTCAATGTAGTTAGTTCCATTTGCATAATCATACCCATCAATGCCACTGTTTTTTTTTTAATTCTCTAAGTATAATTTCTAAATAGTTTAAAGCCTCCTTAAAAGTGTTTGCTCTTACAATCAAATATAAGTCAATAGAATCACTTTATGAATACAATCTGCTGTTCTCCTCTTGGTTCCACTTTTTGAAAGCCAGGCTTCATGGTCTGCAGCAGAGATCCAGTAGTAAGTGCTTAAGACTTGCACTGAGCCACAAGCTAAAAGAGGAGGGGGGAAAAAATCTATATTTTGATAGCCATATAATTTGTTTTCTTTGACAAAAAAAAAAGTCAAATTTGCAATATTGCCATTTCAGCATTACAAGAAAGTGACTCACTTTTAAAATATCCTGAGTGACTGAACTTATATCAGGCATCTCTGGTGTGCATGGCTCTGTAGGGAACATCACTCTGACTTTTGGAGTTGCAAGGCACCAATCCTGGTTGAACCCATTTTCATGGATTTGGACAGGTGTCTGCTTCAGGTCTAACACTTGATCTGCCCCCATCTTCATCCCAGAAGCATCATCAGATGCATTTTTCTATTCAGAGTTGAAGGAAGGGCAAACGTCAATTGCATCTCAAAAAAGGAAACTAGACACCAATTCGTTTATAAGGTTTAGCATCAAATCTAGTGTATATTACCATTTTAATGATTAAAAGATATATGATTACTTACAAAAGCAAGAGAACTCCCAAAAAGGGACTGCAGGGTTAGCATCTCAGGTATGGCCTTGTCCTCATAACATAGCACTTTTGGCATCTCTGGAGCATCAAACGAAGGAGCTGTGTTTGTGTTTGAGAGATCTGGTAGGTGAAAGCTGCCCTCCTGTGATGTCCTGTGTCTATCGCTTTCTTCCTGCCTGTCATCCTTTGAAACAGCAATTGAAGTGAATGAGTGAAACCATTACACTATTTTACTGGTATTATATGTGATTATGATTTAATGTATTGCTAGACAAGTCTCTTGTGGTAGTCTACGTTAGTAAATAAAGCAATAAGTAAAGGAGCGCATCACACCTTTTTTATTAGCTTGCTGACAAAAGGTGTTTCAAATGCAGGGAGCTCTGGTGTAGAAGGGCAGTTATTAAGGCGAGGAGGAGAACCAAGGTCCTTCTTTCCTTTCAGTAGTGGAGAGGATGGGATGCAGTGTTTCTCAATCTTAAATCCAACTGTTTCTAATCATACATGGATGATAGTCCCGCCTCTATTCTTGTCAGTTGGTCCTCAGTGGATTTCCAGTTCTTGAATGTAGCAATTATAGGTGTAAATCGAAGCAGTTTAACATCTATGTCCAGCAAGTTTCCGGAAAAGGAAGTGGTTTCAGCATAATTGTTTTTTTGCCGTTGTGATTAACAGATCTCTGTGTTTAGTGACAATGTCCACTCTCAGATCTTTATGTCTAAAAACATCATCGAAAATATTACCCAAATACAAAAATTGAGCACATTCAGTTCAGCATAAAATCGCATAATACCTTAACAAAGATACTGTGGTTTTATAAATTTGATTCAGGCTCTTCAACTCTTCTTTGAAATTTCGCGGCACATCCGGGTTAGTTTTGTCTGACTCGTTAGACTTGACGCACATCCAAACACCGTAAAAAAAAAAAAAAAGTTGGTCCATCTTCTTCTTCTTCTTTGGAATTGTTTGGCGTATTCCGCACCATACCGCCCCCAACTGTTTCTAATTATACATGGATGATAGTCCCGCCTCTATTCATGTCAGTTGGTCCTCAGTGGATTTCCAGTTCTTGAATGTAGCAATTATAGGTGTAAATCGAAGCAGTTTAACATCTATGTCCAGCAAGTTACCGGAAAAGGAAGTGGTTTCAGCATAATTGTTTTTTTGCCGTTGTGATTAACAGATCTCTGTGTTTAGTGACAATGTCCACTCTCAGATCTTTATGTCTAAAAACATCATCGAAAATATTACCCAAATACAAAAAATTAGGAGACATGACTCTGGAAAAGATAAGGAGAGTCATTATTTGAAGGGATAGTTCACCCAAAAATGAAAATCCTGTCTTCCTTTTTTTTTCCTCCATACTATGGAAGTCAATGGCTACCATCAACAGAGTCTCGACACGTTACCCACATTCTTCAAAATATTTTCTTTTGTGTTCAACAGAAGAAAGAAACTCAAACAGCTTTGGAACAACTTGAGGGTGAGTAAACGATGGCAGAATTTTTAGGTGAACTATTCCTTTAACACAGCTTACTAATAAATTGTTTCAAGACATGAGTATTACAAACAACACATAGTCTATACAGACATTGCATTGACAAAGCAACGTTACTCGAGTCAAACCTCCAAAGTAGTGTCCATCACACAGTTCCCTCTGGAGAAACTCATTCTCCACAAGGACCTGCCCATGCTCGATGAAGAACATGCGGTCACCAGGAGCGTTCTGGCGGATGATGATGTCACCCTCCTGGTAGACCTCATACTGCAGCTCCAGAAGAATGGCATTGACGAAATTTATATCGCAGTTCCGGAAAAAGGGAGCTTTTCTCACATGGGCCGAGCACATGGTCATCAGAATTTCCTAACAAATTCATTCAAACAATCATTAAACTATAAAAACACTGTTTTACTTTTAAAAACATGAGCAAAACATCTTTTAAATAATCACTTCTGTGACTATCTAGCAATTCCAAAAGTGAGCAGTACCTCTCTGAGAGATGAAGACACCCACTTCAGGACATCTTTCTCATCATACCATTTCCCTGCATAACGAGCCTGAAAGTAGTTGCTGATGTGCATACGAAGGGCTTTGGGAAGCTTCATGAAAGTCATATAATCTTCCAGATGATTCATCTATGTAAAAACAAGCACAAAAGAGAACAGAAAACAGAAAATGTGAATGACATCCCCAATAACCATCTAATATGTTGTTTTAGCAGTATATTTGTTTTCCTTGCACTTTGTTATTGTACGCTCTTGCTGTTATGTCCACATCAGTCATCATTGCAGCAGTGTTGGCGACCATCACCGTGTACATGATGGCTCCAGACACAATGCTAGTCATGACTATCCACAGCTCAACCTCATCTAAAAAATAAAAAATAAAAACCCATTAGGTATTAAAATAAGTATCAGTTGTGCATTGTGATTGTTGTGGCATAAGATTAACATTTTGCTAAATCAGCTGATCAAAAGTATACTCCTTGCTTGTGGGTGTTTCAGAGGAACCGTATGATATTGCAGTCATATGAGAGAGGGCCCGAAAGACTCCAAAAGAGTACTTCTCTCCCACTGTGGCATTCTGACAAATTACACAACACAAAGTGTTGACATTAATACTTTATTTTTATACATTAAAACCATAAATTACACACTCTCTGTAATACACTCTCAGAAAAAAAAGGTACAAAAGTTGTCAACAGGGTGCTAACGTTTGAAAAGGTATACTTTTGTATTTTACTTACCCCTAAAGCGTGCATATTGGTACCTTAAAGATACATATTAGTTCCTAAAGTGTACATATTAGTACCTATTTAGTAGATATTAGTAAATTTTGAAAGGGTACCACACCAGTGACTGCTTTTGTACCTTTTATTCTGATTCTAATCTGGTTAATCGCAGAGCAAACTGGCTCAGTTAATAATAATAGCAGTGAAAACGACCTCAGAGGACTTCAGTATTATTATTGCTGTAATATTGTTACAGTGTTCATAGAATAATATACAAGATGTCGGACTAGATCATATCTAGATAGATTAAAGATATATTAAAATATTCATGATTGTATAAAATATTATTAATTTCCATGATATTTCCAGCCAGGCCTTGCAAGTACAGTTTCCAAATTCAGTGATATTTCCATAAATGTGGGATTGCTGTTTATGTGAATATGCTGCTCAGACACTTACCATTAGATTCTCTCTTCTAACCCAGCAGTCTGAGGGAAACTCCTCAAGCATAGGCACAAAATACTGAATACAGCCATTCCAGTGGCACAGCAGGAAAATCATCATAAATAATGACAAGATTCTTAGGAACACCCTCACCACCTCCAAGTTGGCATTTGAAACCTATATGAGCAGAGATTCAATTAAAAAAATCAAAAGCATTATTCAAAGAAATAAAAACATTTTCTGAATGATGACTTATAAAACATGCTATTCAGTGTTGTCTCATGAAGATAAGGTCAGTTTCATATGTTCAAGCAATTAATTACTTACTCTCTCCACTTCATTGAAAAACCTAACAAGCCTTGACACACGCAGCAGGCGGACAAGACTGAGGATTCTCACAAACATCAAGATGCGCATCATTTTGCTGGCTTTGGATGAGGGAGAGTCACTGTGGTATTGTAGGTCCTGTCATGACAAGGGCACAAAACACATATTTTCCATTTGGAGCTATGCAATTTCAATACAGCCAAAAGATTTTTGCAGAAAAAGGCACATTACCGCAATAAGTAGTATGTAACCAACTGGGAATGCTGCCACCACATCAGGTATAAACCAGCCTTTTAAATATTGTTGTCGAATGCTTTTCAAATCCAGAATGGCTCCCTGTTTAACATACAGAAAGATTATTGGAGAAGTTTAAGCAATTTGATATTTGTAATGTCTAGGGCTAATCCTTACCTCACTGTCCTCATTAATGATCCCCATGCGAAAGTTAAGCCCCACGTCAATCAGGAACAGAGTGTCCGAGAACACGTTAAAACCCTCCCAACCCACTCCACTGTTCCCATCAAGAAAGGCAATCTCCATTGGAATGCCAATTAGATTCAGAAATGTTATGGCCACCATACACATGATGTAATAACTCCTGCAAAAATAAGGACAAGAGTTGCAAGATGGCATTTTTGCATGACTCATTTCAAAACTCATTAGTATTTTTTCGATTTTATTTTATAACATATTTTATTTTAGGTTTTTATTACATTTTATTACATTTGTATACATTTTTTTATTGTATTTATTGTTTTAATTTAAAAAGTATTAAATAAAGTAAAACGAAACAGATAAAACATATATATATATATATATGTGTGTGTGTGTGTGTGTGTGTGTGTGTGTGTGCAGGGCCGTCCTTGGAGGGGTGCAACCCGCGCTTGCAATGGTTTTCTGATTAATTACACATCTGTTTACTTGCTTGACAAATCATGTGTAATTAATCGGACACAGCACTTTCTGAATTCATGTTTGAGGTACAGTATGGCTGTTTAATTTATGTTGTAGAAAAAATCTCCAAAGTCACCTTTTGCCAACTCATAAATTAAGCACAACATACAAACGAGCAAATATATACTAAAAACCCAGTAGAAAGACCTGAGGGAATCCATGCTGAGTTGGCGTTCGGTGTTGACCTACAAATCTACGTCATGACTGAAAAGTTCTATTTTTGCCGCTCATAGCATGCTGAACGTAGCAGAAAATGCAGAGAAAATGCAATATAAACATTTATCAACACAATATTTTGCAATATAAGCTGTTACCCAAGTATGTGTCAGACTTGATGCAAGTTGCACACTCAGTGACAGGCATCAAGACAGCATTGTTTTTGCTACTTTGAGGTTTGGGTTCTGGTAGACTGATTATCATTTAGACATTTATTTCCCTCCTCATGTAAATTAGATTTTAATGAAAATAAAAAGCTCACTTACAATAACCAATGATAATTTTTACATTTATGTTGATAATCAAAGGAAATACTCAATGTAGTAACCCTGAAATCACTTTATTTTCTGTACCGAGACGTAACTGTTACACATTAGAAGCAAGGTCTGCATGAAAGCGATATGTGCCCACTTGCACTTCTTTCGAAGTTCCACTTATGTACAGAATGTAAAACAAGTCTTAGGTCTGGTATCTTTTGAGCAGTTCTTGAAAAAACATAAGCCAAGCTAGTTGCTCCGAATAAACAGAGCAACAATCTTAGATGGATTACACCTAGAATTCTCACAATACTCAATGTAGTAACCCTGAAATCACTTTATTTTCTGTACCGAGACGTAACTGTTACACATTAGAAGCAAGGTCTGTATGAAAGCTATATGTGCCCACTTGCACTTCTTTCGAAGTTCCACTTATGTACAGAATGTAAAACAAGTCTTAGGTCTGGTATCTTTTGAGCAGTTCTTGAAAAAACATAAGCCAAGCTAGTTGCTCCGAATAAACAGAGCAACAATCTTAGATGGATTACACCTAGAATTCTCACAAAAAAACTTTTATCATCAATATCGAAGTCATCCATGAAGTAAGCTGTATCAGTATGAACATATTTTCTTTTGTAAGCTGCATGAACGAAAAGTAGAGTTATGTGAATTTGCCTGCAAACTCTTGTTTATAATACTCATCTGAAATAAATTGGAAATATGAGACAATATGATTAAACTATTAAATATGTAATTACAATTCTATTAAAATATGTATTAAAATTAATACACTGAAAAGTTGGCTAATGATAAAATAATATTATGATAATATAAACAATATTAATAAACCTAAACTTTTAAATTACTTCTATTCTGTACAAGACTTTTATTGTGTTTTATTGTTCGGCATGTTGATATGCCCTGATTTTAGATCGAATCGCGTTTCATTTAACTTTAGCCATTAAACTGTGTGTGAATGTAAATCATATTTAGTTCATAAATGGCTGTAGCTTAGTTGTTATTTATTTAAATGCATTGACCCGGAAGCTACGCGACACTTCCGCTTTCACGGGGTTGTGCTGTCTGACAGTAGCAGGTTGTGTAAGGAAGGACACACGTGAGCACAGCAGTCTCTACAGCATATATAGTGAGTACGAGTTTGTTAGAGACATGTTTTTATTTTATTACCTGACAGCACGATTTGAATATTTCTTACAGCCAATAAGACACAGCATCTTTGACAGCGAGGTGTAACAGCTAGTATTACAACGAAACGTTGAACAGCAGTGGACATGGTGTAACTAGTAATATGGTGGCTAGTTTGCTGCACACTGCTGGCTGTTCAAAATATGTCATGTTGGAACGGAAGTTTAGAGCTGATAAATAATATGTCCCCTGCTCGTTTGTTTTTCTCAGACATTGTTTGAAAGTGGAAATGTCGAGCCTGTCAGCAGCCAGTGTGGAGGCTTCAGCAGCAATAGAGGGGGCCGAGCAGAAGAAACCACTGAAACCATGCTGTGCGTGTCCTGAGACCAAAAAAGCACGAGATGCCTGGTGAGGAGACTTTTAGCTATTAGTTAACTTCTGCTTTAAAGAGATATTTTACCTAAAAATTCAGTCATTATTGACATAATTCATAATTATTTCCTGTGTTGTCCCAAACCAGCATTAATTTATTCTGTGTTGCACAAAATAATTTTTGAAGGATTGCACTGCTCAGTATTTTACTTTAAATAAAAAGGAAGTGAGATTTTCAGACTTCCAAAAGGATGCACGTCCCCATAAATGTAGTCTATATTATTTGTACACTGCTGACCCAGTGCTTGAGTAATATTGTGGCAGGAGCAGTTCTTCACATTTCTCCTTGGTCCATCAAGCTGGTTTGGAGCAATATGAGGGTGAATAAATAACATAAATGTTATTTTTGGGTAAACTCTTCCAATACATTTTAGTAAGATGTCATGACACACTTTTGTCTTCATTGTAGCATAATTGAAAAGGGAGAAGAAAGCTGCACAGACCTCATCGAAGCGCACAAGGATTGCATGAGGGCACTTGGCTTTAAGATATAATACCACCATCATTATCATCAGATTGAGTGAATGGTAAGTGTTACGACAATGACCAGTCTCTTACAAAGAATATCCTTGGTGATATTTCTCACATTTATTGTTCCACATCTTGAATTTTGGTAATGCAATTTTCAGATATCTCTGCTCTGCAAATTGAATCGAAAAGAATAGTTCACCACAAAATTGTCATTTTTGCTTCCTAATTTCTTCTACATGACTGACTTTCTTCTGTGGAGTTATTTATAGCAAATAGCCAAGCTGTTCTCGTCCATAAAATAAAAGTGAATGTTGAATTTTGGAGCTTGACAGTCCCTGATCCTCAACTTTATTGTATGAAACAGAGCAGCTCAGATATTCTGCTAAAATTCTCCATTAGTAAATAATGCTAGAACTTCCATATTTGAACTCCCTTTAAATATATCCTTTAAGTACAAAAAAAATCTGTATCTTATGTTATGAGGACATTTGTGTTTGTTTAAAGAATCATTTATAATGTTTTTTTAATTGTCTTTTCTTTCTTTTTGTAGTGTGTGACAACCTGTGTGAAATGGAACCTGGTGTGCTCTTTTTATTTAGACTTTTACACTGTAGGGAAGATTATATGGGGCTGAATTTATTCCTCTGAGGGAAACGTTGTCTGTCTTTTATTTTTCTTTGTTATGTCTTTCTTTTTTATTTCTTTTCTTTCTTATGTGATTTGCGTACGTTTGGTCAATGGTCAATAAAGATCCTATGCAAGATGTTAAGCCATTCTCTTTTCTTATATCTTCACTTCTTATTTGTACGCAATAAGCAGAGATTCTTATAACAAGGCTGGCCTTTTCTTTTTACAGCCTATTTTAAATGATTCAGTCTAATCAATATGTATCACGTGCTTGATTTGCTTATTTTATCACACATTAAATTATTGATGAAGTGGTGTCTGTTGCTCGACACCATGCAGGCCAAGCAGTTTTATGCAAACAGACTATTCTTCCAAGCTTCTTACTCGGTTGGCTTTCGAATTCCCTGGACCAGCATTTGGCTGGTGACAGCTGCACTTAACTATGCACGCAGGCCTAAAATAGAGCTGCTGCTTCCAGCACACTCTAATCTGAGGTCTACTCGCAGAAGTGCTTTTATTCTGTATCCACACCTGGTGTGAACCCAGCAAATGCAATTCATAATTTGCATTTTCTTCTAATGATTTCACTAAGTTCACAAGTATAGTTTGTCACTGACACAAACACAAGAACAGATTGCTTATTTAGCATATTTCCCTATGCCTGCTTCTAAATACCATATAAATATGGGCAATATTGATGTTTAATTAATTAAATACCAACATATGCAAATGCATAAGTGATATTTTTCATATATTAAATGTGTAAATATTTTTTCTGGTTTATTTCTGTCATTCAAACTGCTTTCATGGTGCTTGACTACAATGAGAGTGTGTGCACAGTACGTGAGTGAGAACATTTCTATTGGCATGCCTTTCTTGCAGGGTACATGTCAAATTGACAACTCTGAATGGTAACTTTAACACTCTCTTATCTATAACAGCTAGATAAGCTGCACGAGATACTATGTTTCAGTTATGTTTCCATCTATATAAGCTGTCATGATCAAGAGATAAAACAAATGAATCTATTAATCACACCACAAAACCATTTGTCATTCCAATGTAGTTCAGTAGCATTTCATTTGTGCTTAAATACCACAAATCACATCCTTCACCATATCACTGCACAGCTCATGCAATGGATTGTTATTTTTGTTGCATAGTTCCCACAATCTAAATTTTGAGATAAAAAACTGCAGTTCCTCATCTACTCTAGCTTTTGTTGAATGGACTTGCTCTCACTAACCTAAAATTGCTCAACAGCACAATTTGGAAAGCCTTTGTCATTAAATTACATCCATTTTCCTTAAACAAACGTTCTATTATTTTATCCAGTGATGAAGCTAAGAAATTAAGAACAAAATATTTTACATTTCCAGCTGCACCAAAAGTAAACACAGTCCATTTTCAAATTCTTAAGTATATAACCTTCTGGAGAATTTTTAAGACTTTAGTTTGGTTTCGATCATAACAATTGGTAAT